TAAGTAGGTATCATCTGCAAGTGTGGGTATTCTTATGCATATGCCCTCTCTTCTTTTCAGCTGGACGCTTCACTCTCCACTCTAGTCCTCCGTGGCTATGTCACTGACTCTGGGCCCAAGAGTCCCCAGATCTTTTGTAGGCTTCTTTGAGAAGTGGCATTTTCTCAGATTAGAAGGAGGTAAAAGGCCTAGAAATGCTGGTTATTAAAACCAACTGAAACACAAAGCTAAATTTTTTTAATTTGTTGACTGAGGGAGATATAATTTTGGGAGACAGGCTTTCTAGACAGTGCTTGAGCAGATTTTAAGAGCTCAGCTTAGTTTTAATAAAAGTGAGAAAGATTCTAATTGGCTGTTTAGTATTCTGATCTTTCACACATCATGTTTCTGTTTTGGTTTTGTAGTTCTTTTGAATTTAAAAAGCAAAGTTCTTCAAGGTCTGTGACTTAAGGAAAAAGGTTTTATGGGCAAGATTCTCAGTACTGTCTTTGATACTGATACGATTTTCAATGAAGTTGATGTTCGATTGCTTCACAGTAAATTTATTCTTGACATGAAAGTGGCTTCTCTAGGTTTACAGTGTAATTGGTGGAAGAATTTAATACAAAGACAATAGCCAGTGCAAAGGCCCTGAGGCACGAGTGTGCTTGGCATGCTCAAGGAATAGCATTGTGATTGAAACTGAATGAGGGAAAAGGGAAGTAGTAGGAAATAAGAGAGGTAAAGGGTAGCCAGGTCATGAACTGGCACATTTTAGTAAAATTACTTAGTAGATTCACATTTGAGAATAATCAATAAGGAAATAAAGGTGGAAGACAGACTAGTCAGAAGGCTAGTTCAGTAATCTAAGCAAGGAATGATGGTGGTTTCTACCACCATGGAGGCAGTGAGATGGTGAAAAAGATTAAATTCTGAACATTTTAGGCTAGTAAAGCTAACAAGGATGTTAGAGAGAAGAAAGAGGAATCAGTGGGCTTGAACAGCAGTAAGAATATAGTTGCTGTTATCTGATGGTGGGGAAGGTTACAGGTAGAACAATTTAGAATAAGGGTGGAAAAAAATCTGAAATTCTGTTTTAGACACATTATGTTTGAAATACAAAGCTTTCTTAAAAATTTCCTCATAAATCACATTTTCTTTCCGTGTATCATTTATTAAGTACCCTTTGTAATAACTTTAAAAGATCACAGCATCAAAATCTGTTTGTCCCAGTTTTTACTTCACTGAAAATTATGAAACTTATTTGGCTTCTGCCTTTAATGTTTTTTCATTTACATGTATGTCTTAATTTTTTTCATTGAATAATATCTCTGTGAACCAGTTACAGTTCTAAGTGCTTGATATACATTTTATTTTCTATGAAAAAGCACTTTTTGATTTTTATTAACTATATCAAAAAGCTTAAATTGCCCAGGGTCACCCAGCAAGATAGTTTGATTTTAAAGGCAAAGTTCCTAACTTTGCATTTTGAATAATTGTTTTTAGACATATTTCAATAAAGATTTAGATTTTGTGTAAAATAATTTTTTAAGTTTTGAATCCTTTAAATTGTGGAATAGGTCAAAGTTAAATAGTTTGCCAGTTTTCATTTAAATAATTTTCCTATTTTGCTTTATTTAAAAATTACAGGTTAGGTCAAGGCTAACTAGTTTGTTGTTTTACTTATTATCTATACAGAGACTGAAATGAGAGCTGTTTATGTGAAATCTTTACACAGTCCACTGATGAGCAATCAGTACAAAATGGTTCCTAAGAAACATAACAGCATGAACATTTTCTCACAGGTATGAACTATAGAAATGCAGTGGAGAATTTCTCAATGGTGATGTTGAAATGCTGCTATTGAAGTCTCCATCTTGTTTTGTCAACTTGACTATCAGAATTATTTGAGATAAGTTCTGCCCAGAATCAGGAATATAAATTTAATGAATTCTCAAGGTCCTTTTCGGTTCTCATTTGGTAAAATCATCCTGTTTAATTTGAACTCATTACAATATACTATTAAAAATTTGTTTTTCAATTAGAATATTTAGTAGGGAAATTAGTAGAATTATAGCATGTCAAAGTTAACTTTTAAATTCTTATGTGTTGTTAACTACTTACCTTGACAGTTTCGTTGTCATAAAAATGTTATATTCTAAAAATTGTAGATTGTCATTTATGGATAACATTTTGATATAAATTACAATGTTTAGCTTGGTAATGTCGTCATTTATATCTGCGTATTTCCATTGTACTTATTATATTAAGGTCCCTGGGTGATGTAGATGATTTGTTCTCGACTGTTAACTTAAGGGTTGATAGTTCAGATCCACCCAGCAGTGCTGTGGAAGAAAGGCCTTCTTGTCTGTTTCCATAAAAATTACAGCCAGGAAAACCCTCTGGAGCAGTTCTGTGCTGTAACACATGGGGTCAGAGTTTGAATTAGCTCAATGAGAACAAATTATTATATAGCACTTATTGCCTTGTTAAAGAGCCCTGATGGTGCTGTAGGATAAGCACTGGACTACTAACCACATGGTCGGAGTTTAAATCCACCAGCCAATCCATGGGAGAAATATGAGGTTTTCTCTCATAAATATGTACAACCTTGAAAACTCTGTATGGGGTCACTATGTGTCAGAATCAACTTAATGTTGTTGTTAGTTGGTTCCAGTGCATAACAACCCTGTGTAGGGTTTCCAAGGAGCAGTGGGTGAGCTTGAACCTCCAACTTTGTGGTTCAACCAACCTTGTAGTCCAGCTCAGTAACCCACAGCGCCACACCAAGACTCCTGAATTAATAAATACTCTTATATTTTTCCTGTAGATCCCTGAGCAAGACGAAACCTATTTGGAGGACAGTTTTTGTGTTGATGAAGTGGAGTCTTGCAAAAGCCAGTCAAGTGAAGAAGAAGTATGTGTTGATTTTAACTTAATAACTGAAGATTGCTTTGAAAATGGAAGTAAAAAATATGAAACTCGACGTGCAGTCATGCTAAAAAAATTGAAGAGCCAACAAAACTGTGCACTTTCTAAAAAGAAATTTTCCAGAATTATTTTGCCAGATGATTCAAGTGAAGAGGAAAATAATGCTAATGATAACAGTGTTGTGGTTAACCCAAGTACTGTAAACAGGAATGAACAGCAAGATTGCTGTTTGAATCGAGTGCCTTCTGGGTCATTATTCCCATTCCAGGTCCATGTTAATCCAACTGATAATCAGTCACCCAAGCAGAGACAACAGATGCCACCTAATCTAAAGGATACAATTTCTGACGACCTAGATTTCAAACCTCAGAGCTGTAGTAAAATTGGATCTGCTTCACCATCTTTCACTACTGAGTCACAGAAGGGCTGTAAAAAATTTCCCATTCAGTTGAAGGTATGAATAAAATTAAGAAAAAAAGCTTTCAAGCTTTTATATATTTATCAACTTTTGTTTTGTTTTGCTTTCTTGAGTGAATTCTTTAACCAAGAAGCATACTAAATTGTATGGCTAATTCATAGGATACTTAGGCTTTAATTTTTTAAAAATGTGTTAATAATTTTGTTAACACACTGTAAGGAGAGCTGCTAATTTTTATTTTTCAAATACATAGGAAAATTGGACTTTCTGCAAAAGGAAATTAACAGAAATTATATGCTCAGAACTAGTTCTCAGATTAACCTTTCTTCTACACTAAAGAGTTTCAAGTAAATTAGTTGTTAATCTCTTTCTTGAGAAACAGTGGCAGAGGGATAACTAAACTGGTTTTCTTTACCTTTCTTTTTCCAGATTGGCTACTAAATAATCAGTTTCCATCTTCTTCCTATTTTTCTATTTTTGAAAGAATCAATAAAGCCCTTTTGAGTTTTGGGGAATTAATGGTTTCGATACTTTTGTTAAAATAGGGGATTGTCATAGTAATAACAGTCCCTTAACTGTAAGTATTGATTTGTTCTGTCTTCCAGAAGTGAGACCCAGACATAGACTTCCAGTTTGCTCTTATTTCCAAGGCATTTCACTGCAGTCTGTCTTTGTGACATGTTCCACAGTATCGTCAATGGACCTCTTTAACTTGATGGTTCTAAGTTATTGCTAGCCTTTTTTTTTTCTTTTGCACCCAGCTTTTTCTTGCCATTTTAAAAACCACACCTGCTAGCCTTTTGGGTTTTCTACAGCCAGAAATTTTGCTGATTGCAACTTTATGGTATTTGTACAACCTGTATCGAATGTAAATTTTTTGGAAGTTAGATGTAGAGGCTTAATCATATTCAATATTTTTTTTAAAAGTTAGCTTTAAAGCAAAGATCCATTAATTCATTAAGGTTTTTATGTGGTATTTAATTTTATTTCTTTTTATTATAAGGTGGAGTGATTTTATAAAAAGAAACTTCTCTTCTATTATTTGCTTACCCACTAGAAAAATTTTATGAGAAAGCAAGATAAATACTTAGTTATTTCTCTGTTAGTTTTAAAACAATTTACTAGCATCCACTAAAATTTTTTTTTAACGCAATGAACTAATGAGTTTAAACAATAGCAATGGTTTTAATCTAATTATAGTTTAATGGTAAAAATTTGCCAGTGAGACCCCTTTTAAAGTTGCTCCTAAGTATTTTTGATATAATCTTGTAGTCTTTGATAGCTTCTATGCTATATAGTGTCAGGAGTGTATTTACACAAATGCTGTCTCATTCCTGGAAGCAGCGCTTTCCTCAAGTGACCCTAGTACCTGTTGGTAGGAAATGGTATTTGGAGGCTATATTCTGAGTGATAGAAGTGCTCATCTTTGCTGTACAGTATGAGAAAATATGCCCGGCTTATCTTGAACATTTCCTACCCTGGACCAGGAAGTAGCTATTTCTTCAGTTGCTTTGATTCTTTTATTGAGAAATGGATTTATGTGCTCTTTGATGTTGGTTTAGTTTTACACTTTCAGTGGTAAGAACTATGTAGTTAACATTTCTCCTCTTTTTCACACTCATTAAAATTAAACTCACGAGTTCATTTGATGCTTTCCATTCAATAATGCAGGATTTTAATTTTATCATTTTTAATTTTATATTTATATCTCCTTTTTCCCATAGCAATATAGTGAATAATAGAATTAGAATATTACTTAATTTGCTTTGTCCATGAAATCACAAATATCAGTTTCAGAATAATAGTACCATTGTTATGGCCAGCAGTATGATAACTGAAAACCGTTTAAACAGTTTATCCCCACCACAATGTATGAGAATGCTTGGCTTTCCCTAGAGCCTTAACAGCAGAGAATATTGCCAATGTAAATAATGAAGAATGGTGTTTAGGTATAGCTTCCATATGCATTTTTCATGTAGCACAACATTGTGCATTCTGGCTGTAAATTCACATGACGTCTGGAGGGCCAGTTTGTTGATATCAATTCTGAAAGGATTTTCTCTCTCTACCTAGTATACCTGCACTTGACTTGGCTTCCACAGACCAAGTGACTATGCATTTAAAAAACTTAAAATAAATAAAACAGAAAAACTAAAATAATGTGATTTGGTGGTTTTCGTTGTTTTAACTGGAGAGGCCTTCTGGTTACTTAATCTTCCAATTCTTTGACAGTATTTTAGGTTTTCTCTTAATTTTTCAAGATAAACTTTGAAGATTATTTAACTGTCCATTCATTCATTTTTTTCCCCCTGCTAAGCTAAAACTCGTAACTCATGATTTTCCTTTGTAAACACTTAATTTCCTCCCTGTTCATTTTTAGATTTTCCTCCTATTTCTGTAAACCTTTATGTTCTTAGTTAAAGCTTCATTTTTGTTTTAATTTTTGAGTCATAGGATGTTGGCTTTTTTCCTTCACCTCTAGTCACTTTTCTCATGTTGAAGGAAGAAAAAAGATCATTAGCGATCAGTAAGGAAGGTCAACATCAGATGTAAGGAGTGTATGGTGTATGTATTTAACCTGATTGTGATCAACGTTCTCCACTTTTTCAGGTTGGGAGCACTCTGGAGGAGTCTAGTTCCAATTCAAGACCATATTTGGCTGGGACACATACTTCTGTTAAACTTCCACAAGAAGGAAAAAGAACCTGTATTCTTGTAGACAGTCATGAAATCACTTCTGGCTCAGAAGTAATTTCTTCCCTAAGAGCAACTCATGGTTTAGACGTAGAGGTTTGTCCTCTTAATGGTTGTGATTACATAGTGAGTAACCGCATGGTGGTAGAAAGGAAGTATCAATCTGAGATGTTAAATATCAGTAAGAACAAGGTTATTGACCAGATCCAGCACCTGCAGAGCATGTTTGAAAGAATATGTATGATTGTCGAAAAGGACAGAGAAAAAACAGGTTTGTATTCAAAAGTGTTTTTGTTCATATGGCTATAAAGGAAGTTGATTATTATTTAGTTTATTCTTATGCTGTAAGGATGTTTTTGTCTTTGGTATGTGCTGTGGAGTCTGTTCCGACTCAGTGACCCTGTACAGGGTTTCTGAGGCTGTAAATCTTTACAGGAGCAGAAAGCCTTATCTTTCTCCTGGGGAACAGCTGGTAGTATCAAACTGCCACCACAGATCCCAAAAGGATGTAGGAAGCTCTTAAAAATATAATTGCTAAATTTGTGAATGTGCAAATATTTACCTAATTTCCTAATGTTTTTCATAGCGTGTTTAAACACAGCTTTATTTTCATTTTCAAGTGCTTTGTATGGAGTCGGTTCCAACTCATAGCTACACTGTATAGGGTTTCCAAGGAGAGTTGGTAGGCTTGAACTGCCGACCTTGCAGTTAGTAGTCCAGTGCTTATCCTACAGCACTACAACAGGAGTCCTCAATGCAGTTTATAAGCTGAAAATTAAAGGGTAAACACATTAAAGTTAAATGGACCAATCAAAAGACCTTTTTGGAAGCCTCAGAATGGATGAGAGCCTTAAAGAAGCAGTTAAGGAAGAAGAATAGCATTCAGGTGATGTTTAGAAGCAGAATTCGTAGAAGTTGGTGGGAGGAGACAAGAATTAATCTAAGTGAACTTTTTCATTACTTCAGCTATTAGGCAAGTTAAGTAGTGGTGCCATTTATTAAATTTCGAATATAAGAGAAGTAAACAGATTTTGAGATGTTAAGGTGAGTTCAGTTTTGAACTGTTGACTCAGGTTTACTTCTTCCTAGTTAATCTGAAAATTGAGGGTTTTCTGTCAGGTGATCACCTGGGTCCTCCCATTACTAGATTTTTGTTAATATCCTCTTTGCCAATATAGTTTTTAAGGGAAATGAATTCAGAATAATGAGGAAAGTAAGAAAAAGTTCACTAGTTATGGAAAATATTTTTAGGTAGGTTGTAGAAAAAGGGGAAAAAAAACACAGAAAACCAGGAAAGGTGAAGCAGTAAATTAATAAACCAGAGTCAAAGATGACAGATTAAATTGAGTGTGCAATGTATTTGTTGAATAATTCTAAGGTGCCTTTTATAGGAGCTCCAACTACCAGTCCCGTTAGTATTAGCATTACATGGAATTAGAGATAAATACAATAAATGGTCTTGGCCTCAGGAATGAATTACCTCTAGGAATCTGAGTTCTCTTATCTTTTCACCTTACAGTGTTGATTTCAGTTCAAGATGCTCATAGAGACAGTTCTCCCTATTTTTCTCTCTCACATGTTTGAGAATTACTTTAAAACTCTAGCAGTGGGATTTCTAATACACCATTAATATGGCACTGATGTGCTCAATACTATACAACTTGTATTTGAATAACTAATGACTCTACTTAATATTAATGACTAAATTTGCATTTTTCTATTTATGAAATACTTAGGAGACACTTCAAGGATGTTTAGGAGAACAAAGAGCTATGATAACCTGCTGACTGCCTTGGTTAGTGCTGGAATCCGAATCCTTTTCAGTTCCTGCCAAGAAGAAACCGCAGATTTACTAAAGGAACTATCTTTGGTGGAACAAAGAAAGAATGTTGGTATTCATGTTCCAACAGTAGTGAGCGGTAGTAAGTGGGATGCACTTCAGTTTTATTTAAGCATTCCCAATGTAAGTTATGTAACTGCATTAAACATGTGTCACCAGTTTTCATCTGTGAAAAGAATGGCTAATAGGTAGGTGTGTTTAATAATGAATATATTTAAATAGTTACTTTTAAATGATTCTTAGAAGCACTCTATAGGAAATTTAAATTTTTCCAAAAATTGAAGAGTACTAGTATCAGGTAATTTCCTTCTGTGAATATTTTCATGTATCAGTCACTGTATGAAACAGGATATGAATGGAAAATTTTTTTACAAAGGTAAGCATTGTCTTTGAGGAGATTAGAAACCTCGGTGGACAGAAACAAAACACTTAATTTCCCCTTACATTTGAACATTTCAAAGCTGTTCTGTTCTATACCTAGAAAAATTTAAAGTTAAAAATTATACTCTTATTTTTAAATCATAGCTTGAAACCAGATTTTGGAAAATAAGTTCATTTTAATTAAATTAAGGGCCCATGTAAGATGCTGAAGTGTTTATTGCATGTGATTTTAAATAAAGGGAACAAATAAGTTTTTGTTTTATTTAAACTAATTCTAAATATGTATCAACTGGATATAGAATGCTTAGGGCAGAAAATTATTTTCTCTGGTTAAAAGATTTTGAGTCTGGTGTTCTTAAGGAAGGCAAGCATATTAAATTTGATAAAAGTCAGAGGCTAGAGTTCTACTGTAATATTTTTTTTTGTGTGTGTGTCTAATTTATTTTTCAGCTCACCTCAAGAAATCTCCATGTATGCACAAGTAACTCATCAAAAGGCTGAGGAGATCTGTAGCTATATTCACTATGTATTTGACATGCAGATGTTACCAATGTCTTAACCAATGTGGACTGGAATCCAGTGCATGAACAGACTCAAGATGTCATCAAAGAACTGTGGCAATACATTAGTGTATTTCATAATTGCTACTGTGTTTAATATTAATTTAAATGTATAAATAAGAGAATATTTCCTTACCCTTTAAATACGCTGTACATTTTATTTATATAGTTTATTTAAATCATTATGGAAATCCACTTTGATGGTCATTAATCGTTTTGGTTTTAACTCACTTATGAAACATTTTTTAATCTAATAAGAAAGGCTTATTAAAGGTGCTATTCAGCGCAGTTTAAGAAATCTATTTTGGACTTTGCCCTGTTGTACCATTGTCATTTGTTAACATAAGTTCTATGTGTCTATGACTGCTGCCAGTTTAATGGTCATTAACAATTTCCTGTATCTATAAACTGTTAATGTTATCTGAATTATTTAAAATGTACTTCTAACCAGAAAAATATAGATGCCCTAGTAACTAAGGAAGGTAAAAAATTAGATATTTTCCCAAAGGTGTCTCAGTTAAGAACAGTTCCATCTGATTAATATGAACTCTAAGGTATTTTATTATGCTGTTGAAATATGGTAATTCAAAGAATATACTGGCTGGGATTTGAATGATGTATTTTTAGTATAGATGAGCTACTGAATATGGATTTACATCTTCACCCATCAAATTATGTCTGTGGTACTGCTACTGACTGATATGACCAAGGGATTAAAAAAAAAGTTCATGGAAAAATGAAATGAAAAGACGATGAAACTTTTTCATTAACTTTTTGAAGCCCTTGGTTGTTTTAAGATGGCTCCATGTTTATATTTCTAGTTGGTCTAGTACTATAGCAGCCTTTAATTATGGTGGTGGTTATGTGCCATGGAGTCGGTGCCAACTCATCATGACCCTGCACAGGGTTTCCAAGGCTATAAATCTTTACGGGAGCAGAAAGCCTCATCTTTCTCCCGCGGAACAGCTGGTAGTTTCGAACTTCTGACCTTGCAGTTCATAGCCCGATTTGTAACCACTATGCTACCAGAGCTCCTTGCCTTTAATTATGGATACCCCCAAATCCCAATTTAGTCTTCTGTTCTCTGGTTGTTTTATTTATTCTTTTTAAAAATGTTGGGTAGTTGAACCAACCTCACAACAGAGAGCTTTCCTCAACTTAGAGACGGTGTGAACTTCAGAGATTTTCTAATTTACTTCACTTTTCTTTTTTCCTTTCTTCTCAGATGATAAAACTGAGGTTTAGAAACAGCTGACTGGTTCAAGTTTAGATTGGCAAATTTGGAACCAGATTCCATGTACTTTCACTCTTCAAAAAGAGACCAAAAAAGTTACTCTAATTGTGAACTTGGTTCCTAATGATAAACTCAATTCTTCTGAAAAGTTTATGATCTCATGTATATTTTGTGCAATTAATTCTCTCAAAGCCAGAGAAAAAAGCTCTGTCTTACTGGCCAGTGTGCAGCGTTTTAACCCCCTTTATGCAAATTCCCTTTTAGGTACTTGTTACTCTGGTAGCATAGTGGTTACGAATCGGGTTATGGACTGCAAGGTCAGCAGTTCGAAACTACCAGCTGTTCGGCGGGAGGCTTTCTACTCCTGTAAACATTTATAGCCTCAGAAACCCTGTACAAGGTTGCTATGAGTCGGATCAATTCCATGGCACACAACAACAACCACCCTGCAGGATAATGCATGGAAGACTGCACATGGGAGAACATTAGCTTTACATTCATCCTATTCTATATCGTTTCATTGCCATGGTTACAATCCCCTCCATGCATCATCAAACAACCAACAACTGTACTTTGGAGTCCTGGTGTGGTGCTTAGGGATAATGCACTGGACTGCAAGGCCTGTTTGAACTGCAAGGTCTGCAGTTCAAAGTCACCAGCTGCTCTTCGGGAACCCTATGTAGGAGAGTTGGAACCAACTCAATGGCACTAAACAAGAACTTCTATAATTGGGAGCGTAGTAGCTCCATGAGATAAGCACTGGACCGCGAACCACAGGGTCTGTGGTTTGAGCCCACCAGCTGCTCCACATTCACTATAGAGTCAGAACTGAGTCCACAACAACTTCTATACTTGGACTTTTTTAAGCATTCCTCTTTTACAGCAAGCACAATGCCTAGCTTCATTAGGAGGAAGCAAAGCTTCTTTTCTGGGTGAGTAGTCCCTTGACAACTTTACACTAGGCCTGCATAGCGTTACCACCTTGTAGAACCTCCCAACACAGACTCCCTCTTTTTATCTATCCAATAGACAAGCTATTATGTAAATGAACATGGTGTGATGTACACAACTGAGAGGATTTTGTTTGTTTTTTATGTGGAGTGCTTCCTTCTGTACCGTCAATGTTAGCTGCTCACTGTCCAGCCTATTGATTATCAATCCATTGTATTGTTTCAATTCTTGTGCCCGCAAAGATTTTCTTTTCCACTTTTAAGTGCTCTTTGGAAGTTGCCATAAATTTACTAGCTTATCTTAAGACTTAATGAGACTCAAACCAGATCTCAGGTAGGTAGGATGACTAGTTTTGAAATGAAGGTTTCTGAAGGTATTCTGAGGCTAGGTGGTCAAACTTTTGGATTGGGTCAAGTCAACCCAAAATTATCTTTTTTATTTCCCATTATAGGATTTGACCATCTTAAGGAGCTCTGGTAGCGTAGTGGTTACGAATCGGGCTGCGAACCTTAAGGCCAGCAGTTTGAAACTACCAGCCGTTCCGTGGGAGAAAGATGAGGCTTTCTGCTCCCGTAAAGATTTACAGCCTCGGAAACCCTGTACAGGGTTGCTATGGGTCAGAACCGACTCGAAGGCACTTAACAAGTTCTAAAACACTATCCGCTAACTTTAAGGAACATAACATTACACTAAATATTTGGCAACCCAAGTTTTAGACTATTTAAAAGTTCTGAAAGAACTTTTTCATATGTTCCACTAACATCTACTTAGACTTGCGTAGAAACAATCTTCGTTTGACGGAGAATGACCTGGGTTCAGTCCCACTATTTTTTTGTAATCTTGTTTTTCTGTAATTCTGTAATGTAACTGCTATTTAATACTAACTTCTCAATAAACAAGAAAATGTTATTTTCTACTACAAGTTCAGGAATTTTTAAAAAGAAAACAAATTGGGCCAGTAACAAAATAACTATTTGTTTTCTTTCTATGATCCAGTAGTTTAAAAAACAACCAAAAAATAAATATTATTAAAACAACTAATTTTATTTGAACAACGTAACTGAAGAGAAGGCGTAGGTGAATATGTACTATAACCAGAGGAAGCATTTTGTTAGAGTGTAAAACTGAACAGCAGAATAAGCTAGAAGAAGTTTACTAAACAGTATTATTTCAAAAGAAGCTGTCAGGGAAAGGAAAAGGATGCTTACTATGACATGACATGTTACTTGATTTCTTCACCAGGGGATCTAGGAATTGAATGTCTAATCTATTGTTTAAAACTAGTTTGCATATGTAAATAAACTTGAAGAATATAAATAAAATTTGATCTGATAATAAAATACTGAAAAAGAAATAAAATTACATTGGTTTTAGGATAGAGGTATGTTAAATAGTTCCAAAGTAAACAAATTATCTTTGGGCTTGTATACCAAGTAGTGACAAATGCTAATTTAAAGTTTTCATGAATTCAGTAGCCACTAGAACATTCTATTTTTCATTTTAACTCTGCTTAACAATAGCAACATAAAAAAAAGGTCAGAATATAATTTTCCTAGTATAGGGAAACTTACATGCTTTTAAGACTTATCTATATATTTTAATCACAGAAAACAGCAATTTACGAACAGCTATATACACAAAACAATTTTCCTTACATTTTAGCAAGCTGCTATAATGAATATTTTATACAGGAAAATTTTACTTTGAACACAAACACCTGAAACCAGAACAGCAGCCCCCAGTTGTTAACTATATTACAAAGAAAATACATGTATACTAAACATAAAAATTTGCTGTTTATAATAACAGTCCTAGAAATGAAAGTTTTTCATTTTTAATCTGCAGAGTCAGAGTTAGAAAAATAGTAATCTTTCTCCTCTTCATCTAGTGATTCCATAGCATTTGTGAAAAGTTTTCCAATACCAGAGTTATCTTCTAAATCTGCAAAGAGAAATTTAGTGCAAAAGATTAATACATTTTTATAAGTATGCTGAAAGAAGGTGAAAACAACTATAAGGAACCAAATGGTAAGCCAGTGTACTTGAGAGTAATTTTAGTACCATCTAGATAACAACTGAGTTATAAAAAAATATATATTACCTTTGCTAGCTATGGTTTTTCTTCTAGATACTGGAGTTACGAAATCAGCTTCAACCTACAAGAGAAGCCATATTAATAGCTAAATGTTATGTCTTGTTAAGATTCTTATAAACTTTGTTGTTGTTAAGTGCCGTCGAGTCAGTTCTGACCCATAGCGACCCTGTGCAGGGTTTCCGAGGGTGTAACTCCTTACGGGAGTAGAAAGCCTCATCTTTCTCCCGCGGAGCGGCTGGTAGTTTCGAACTGCTGACCTTAAGGTTCACAGCCCGATTCGTAACCACTACGCTACCAGAGCTCCTTAAGCATGCTTTATCTTCAGAGTACTCTGAACATGTCTGTAACAACACCAAATCTTGTTATCTGTAAAATGCCTAACTCTCTTTTATTGAGAGTAAATACTATGGCTTATACAATTATTGACTATTTCTAACACACGTGAATATAAGAAACCATGACATATGAATGCTACAATGGTTCAAGGACATGGGTGTCTGAGGAGCCCTGGTGTGGCACTCACTGTAGGATACGCACTGGAGCGCTAACTGCAAGGTGGGCAGTTAAAACCACCAGCCTCTCAAAACCCATACAGCGTGGAAACAAGCTCAATGACACTTAATAGCTGTGGGTGTCTGAAAGCTGCCAAAGTATGTTACGAATTCATTTAATTAATATACAGGCAAACATATATATAAGCACACAATCTATTACAATCGTTATAATTACAGATTGTAGGTAGAAATCTGCAATGGGAAAGACATTACCTAGCAAATTTTCAATTATTTGCTAAAATGGCAATGTATATGGCAAGTTTTAAGTGCACACCTACTCAATTATCAACTAACTCATTATCTGACATTGTTAATTTATAATAGTCAAAAATCTATTGTGTGGCGACCAGAGAAGCCCTTCTCATTCTCTGGGTGATTAATGACATAAACTGCTCACCCCAACCCCTAGAAGCCCTCTCTTTCCTCATCCGGCTCTGTCTGTCACCCCTCCCCACCAAGCAGCACAAGAACACTCCAGCACACCCAGTCACTGTATAACTATCCCAAGCAGCACTCCAGCACACCACCACCTCTGGCTGGTTATCCAAGAGGGCTGAGAACAGAACAGTCAGGCATACCTGACTGCAATGTCCTTGACTCCCCTGCTCCCAACCATATGGTGGTAGAGCACTCCAGTAATACAGCTGGCCTCTGGCCACTACCCTCTTGCATTGCTCAATTCTATGCATATAGAATTCTTCACTCCACTTGTGTGAGAGTGCTGATGTACTCAACCGTCTGTCCTGAGCATGAAAGTGCTCCAGCTACCTTTTACACCCTGTCTGCTGTCTTTCCCATCCAGTGTGTAGCTGTTAATAAGTGCCCCACACACACCACTGCTCACCTAGCCCACCGTTAGCTGGTTCACATGCCTATTTAACAGTGACATGAGCTCGTCATTCCACTCTTGCCCACCCAGAAAAAAAATGGTGAAAATCATATCCAATTGTTGAAACATCTCAATCCTTAATTCCTGGAGCCTTGTTTTTTTGGCCAATGCCTTCAATGTGGCTTAGTCTTCCTTCACTACCATTGGATATTGATCATATATTTTCTCCTAAAATGGTTGAATGCTAAACATATCTTTTTGGTACAGTGACTGTGTATCATCTCATCCATCTTCTCATGTTTCCTTTGTTCAATTTTATACACCTATAATCTTTCAATATTGCAAGTTGAAGCTTGAATTTTTTTCTTTAGTTTTCTCAGCTCAGAGAGGCTGAACATGTTCTTCCCTTTTGGTTTTCTAACTCCAGGCCTTGGGCACATTTCATTATGCTAATTTCTTCTTGAACCACCCTTCTGAAATCTTCTGTTGAGCTCTTACTTCATTATTTCTTCCTCTCGCTTTAGATATTTTAATGCTCACGAGCAAGTTTCATACTCTCTTTTGACAATCAACCAAACTGGTTGGTCTTTTCTTTTTTTTAATGATCCTTTCTTTTCTTTATTTATGATGTTCTTGATGTCATCCTGTAACTTGGCTGGTCTTCAGTCATTTGTGTTACATGCATCAAATCTATTCTTCATATGTTTTTAAAATTTGGCAGGGTATACTCACATTGAAGATCATAGAAGAATCGATGCATCTGAGTTATGGTGTTGGAGGAGAATATTGAAAGTGCCATGGGCTGCCAAAAGAACCAACAGATCTGTGTTGGAAGAAGTACAGACAGTGCTCCTTGGAGGCCAGGATGGCCAGACTTCCTCTCATACTTTTGACATATTGTCAGGAGGGACCAGTCACTGGAGAATATCATGTTTGGTAAGGTGGAGGAGGGTCAGATAAAAAGAGGAAGACGCCCATTAAGATGGATTGGCAAAGTGGCAGCATCAATGGGCTCAAGCATGGCAATAATTGTGATGTTGGCGCAGGACCAGGCAGTGTTTCGTTCTGTTGTGCATAAGGTTGCTATGAGTTGGTACCGACTCGATGGCACCTAACAACAACAATACTCACACTGAACTCCTATCTTCTCAGAACAGACTGACCAAACTTTGCTTTGTTTCTTTCTCTGATGAAGTCTGAAAACTCTCTAGAGAGTAAGCTGGTGCAATTTTAATGTTCACCTTCTGTGATTGCTATCCTTCAGAGATGTCTCATGTCCAAAATCTTCAAAACTCTATTTCAAATACTTTGTTCAGTTTTTTTTTCTTCAAACTGTTTAGGGAAGAAACTAATAAGTCACTTAAAGAACAACATACTTTACTTATACATGCTTATGAGACGCATGACTTTATTAGTCTAGACTACTTCCTAATCACTGAAAAGATATTCTGCTTCTGTGTTCTGCCTAAAATGTCCTCTTCTGACCTATATGTATTTTTTCCCTCCTTGTGAACTCTCCAAATTAACATTTTACTCATTCTCATCTTGTTCAAATGCTGCCTTCTGTGAGCTGCAATTAGAACTTCATTCCTCCTGCTCTAACCGAACATTACTTACGTAGTTACAGACATAATACATATGACCCTGTATTGTAATCTACTTATATTATGCTATAAAGCACCTTTGAGGGTAGAGACTGTCAAATAATTTAAAACTCACACAATTTGACATACGATTGATAGATGTTTTAAATAAATGGATTAGGGATAAAAATACTTACTGTTTTTTTCTTGATGTTGCCCCAGACAATACCGCCATTACTTTTATGCTTTTTTTGCATATGATAAACATATTTATCAGAGTCATCCCTGTATGAATAGAAAATGATTTCAAGTCAACATTAACTACCTTACTTTTTATTCGTATGTTGAACAGCAAATGACAAAATTATTTAAAATCTTATTTCAACCAAAAAAAGTACATTTTCTATTTTTAAAAAGGCAGTGATGTTGAAGAAAGTAATCAGTGCCACTAAGTTATATATATATAAGTTGAATTTGTGTATGTTTTGTTGTGTATATTCTAAACTGCTACCAAATGAATAAAATTTAAAGAAAAACAAAGATAGCTATAGCAAGAATTAAAAAAAAAAAGGGGGGTGGGGAGCTCAATGGTGTGACTTTGCTGTTGTTGTGTGCCAATGAGTCGGTTCTGACTCCTAGCAACCCTGGATAAGTTTTCCAAGGGTATAGAGAGCAAACAGCCTCGTCTTATCTGAGCAGACAGCCTCAGAGTGGCTGGTGGATTCAAACTGCTGACCTTGGGGTTATCAGGCTAATCTGTAACCCACTATACCACCATGGCTATGTTGCTGTTAAATGCCTTCGAGTCGGTTTGGACTCATCGATCCATCAGTATAGGGTTTCCAAGAAGTGACTGGTGAATTTGAACCACCAACCTTGGGATCTAGTGCACTATCCCACAGTGCCACACTAGGACTCCACCAAGGTTACGTTGTTGTAAAGTGCCGTCGAGTCAATTCCGACCCAATGCCACCTTGTATAGGGTTTTCAAGGTGCAGCTGGTGAGCTTGAACCACTGACCTTGCAGTTCAAATGGCTTTGCAGTCTGGCGTATTAACTCACAGCGCCACACCAGGACTCCATAGAGGGGAACTAAAAGCTTCAAATATTGTAAAGGACATAATGATCATATTGTAGGAAATGATCGTTTATTTTTTACTTATTGTTCATTGTTTCATCTACGCTCTCTCCTATCTCCTCCATCTTGCTGCCTCTCTTTTCCAAAACTTCTACTGAGACCTCTTGTCCCTGAACTCCTTTTTGATACATCTTTCACTTACGATTACTTCTGTTTACATCCTTTCCTATCCATATTGGATTTCAAAAATGTCAATTTTGCTAGGTCTTCAGGTTAGTATAGGAAATCTTCTTATATTTCCTATATTATCTGTAATTCTGTTTCATGTCACTTTTTCTCTTTCTTCCTTCATTCTTAACAGACATTCTTGTTTCATAATTTATAGAGGAAAACTGAGGCCAACCAAAATGGTTTTTCTCAATTATCTATCCCCTACAACTTCTATTCTGGATTCTGAGAGGAAATCCCAGTGGGACACCCATTCCTATCTTCTCCTTGGCTATAAGATCTTGTAAAATTAATTACCTTCTTTGCTTTATGACTATTTGGGACCTACCTCAGAGGAATGATATACAGCAAATTTATTACGTGTGATTGTATAAGGATATTATTTGATCAAAAATACTGAAAAGTTGGACACAAATAAAAGTGGACAAAACAGATGATTGGGACATACTAAAAATAAAAAACTTATGTGCATCAAAAGACTTCACCAGAAGAGTAAAAAGGGAACCCACAGAATGGGAAAAATCTTTTGCAAAGACACATCAGACAAGGGACTCATTTCTAAAATATATAGGAAACTACAACACCTCTACAAGAAAAAGACAAATAACCCAATTAAAAAGTGGGCACAGGACATGAACAGACACTTCACCAAGGAGGAGATCCAGGCAGCCAAGAAACATAAGAAGAAATGTTCATGATCCCTAGCCATTGATTGTTAAGTACCATCAAGTCGGTTCCAACTCATAGTGACCCTGCACAGGGTTTCCGAGGCATAAATCTTTATGGGAGCAGAAAGCCTCATCTTTCTCCTACAGACCAGCTGGTAGTTTCGAACTGCTGACCTTGGGGTTAGAAGCGCGATTCGTAACCACTACGCTACCAGAGCACTAGCCATTAGAGAGCTGCAAATCAAAACAACAATGAGATCTCTCACAGCAGCAATAACAGCAAAGATCAAAAAGGTAGAGGACAGTAAATGCTGGTGAGGATGAGGAGAGACTGGGATGCTCCTGCATTGCTGGCAGAAATGCAAAATGGTCCAACCTCTCTGGAAAGCAATATGGCGCTTCCTCAGAAGGTTGGAAATAGAAATACCTTATGATCCAGCAATTCCTCTACTTGGTATTTACCCACAAGAAATACAAGACACAATACGAGTAGATATATGCACACCAATGTTCATAGCAGCACTATTTACAATAGCAAAAAGATTGAGACAGCCTAAGTGCCCATCAAAGGAAGAATGTATAAACAAACTGTGGTACATACACACCATGGAATATTACGGTACCTTGAAGAAAAACAAGGAAGCTGTAAGTTATCACATAACATGGATGAACCTTGAGGACATTATGTTGAGTGAAATTAAGTCACAAAAGGAGAAATACTGCATAGGACCACTATTGTAAAAGACTAAGAAACAGAACCCATACTAAAGGGGGTGGAGAGTAATTCATTGCTGGTTACTGGGATGTGGGGGTGGGGTGAGGGGAGGAGGGGAAGGTGGAGCACAGGGTAGGGAATAGACAACAGCATAGTTTCGGTGCTAGGGAAGGGGGCAATACAAAAGAAGGGGGGGAATGGAGGAACAAGGTGGATGGGAAAACAATTAGGTTCGCATGGGCTAAGCGAGGCAGGTAAATAATGATATATGCACAACCTTGGAACAGGGCTCTGGGATATATGGATTGAGACATGGTTGGAATGGGCAAAAGTGGGGAAATAATGTTAAGATGCTTGGCTGTCTTCTGAATCTTGGTTTCCCTGGCATACCGTTATAAAATAGACACTTACACACACACATATAGGCATACTGATCCTACAGTGCATTAGCATCCCTATTTTCAAAAATGGCAGCAAATAAATTTTTTCCATTAATAATTTTTGGATATTTACCAAGTAGTATATTAGCAATTTCTGTCATTAATTTTTGACTACATAATGTACCAGGTGTGGCACTGTGGGTTAATGTGCTGGAATGCAAGGTTGGTTTGAATTGCAAGGTCACTATGAGTCGGAACCAACTCGATGGTACTTAACAACAACACATTAGTAACCTCAGTCACTAATGTTTGAGTACACAATGTATCAGAATTTAATTAAACAGTTCCGGTGTGGCGCTGTGGGTTAATGTGCCAGACTGCAAAGCCGTTTGAACTGCAAGGTAGGTGATTCAAGCTCACCAGTTGCTCCTAGGAAACCCTATACAGGGTCGCTATTGGTCGGAACTGACTCGACGGCACTTAACAACAACAACCCACTGATGGGCATTTTTTGAGTTTTTGGCCATTATATGCAATGTTGCAATGAATCAATTGTACATTCACAACTTCTAGAAATAAGTGAGCAAAAACGGCATGTGAATTTTGATAAATATTGGAAAATTATAGTTTCATTTTCATTTTCAGAAAAATTATGCTGAAATTATTGTTACCATTAATTTCCATTAGCAATGTATAAAATAGCTTTATTTCGCTTATTAACTTATACGAGCACTGGGTATTATCTGAGGAGCTCTGGTGGCAATGTAAGATCCTTGCACTGGATTGGACTACACTGGATGGCTAATTGCAAGGTCAGCACTTCAAACCTACTTGCCACAGGAGAAAGATGAAGCTTTGTGCTCCCAGCCTCAGAAACCCTACACTGAGTTGCTGTAAGTTGAAATCAACACAGGGCAGTGAATTTGTTTTTCTGAGTATATATTAAAGCAAGTAACCTTTTGGCTGTGATGAGTTACTTGTTTTCTTTTCTCATATTACTTAAATTTTGGTTGTTTATAGTAGTTGGTATACCAGGCAAAGCTCTTTATTTATATGGTTGGCTTTACCAATATTTAAGTAGCTTCTGGGTCTTATATCAGATAGAAAGACCTACACTAATTTGAGGTTATAAAAAATAATTTACCTGTAAATCTTTGATTGATTTGAAGCTTATCGTGATGTAAAGTATGTAAACACTGATTATTGAGTAATATCCTATTGCCTAAAAATTATACATCCTTGGCTTCTAGAAGCTATTTATTGATTTAAAAAAATTTTTTAAAAAGGTGGTTCTTTCTATTACAGGCATTTACTCACAAAAATTTATACAATGTTTAAATAATCCCTATTATACTGATGTGCATGAGTATTTACCTATTTATAGAGGCTAGCATGCCAGGACTGACATGCTGACACTGAGGAGTTTTTGCCAATGGAAATATAACTGATGATGGAGTTATTGGATTCATATCCATATTTGGCAGAGTATCATCATCCTCTTCTTGATGGTTCTGAAAACTTGGCAACTAGAAAGCAAATATTTATTACCTACAGGAACCCATAAAATTAGATTTTTCATTATCACAAAATGTTTTTGATGTGCTAATTTGTTTTCTTTATAATTTTCCAACTCAGATAATTCAAAACAGTATAAGTTAGTGCACAGCTTTTGCTTCTTAAAGTCTTAATTTCTCCTCTGTAAAATTGAGACAGTGACATCTACTACTAAAAGTTGTGTAGACCAGCTTGGGTTGGCAAACATTTTCTACAAAGAGTCAGAAAATATTTTAGGCTTTGTAGGCCACACAGTTACTGTTCCAGGAATCAACTCTGCCATTGTAGTACAAGGTTGTGTTTCCAAAGAAATTTTATTTACAAGATCAGGTGGTAGGCTGAATTTGGCCCATGGGCCATATAATTTGCTAACCTATGGGGCAGATAAAATAAATCTGTTATTCCTTTTCATTATTATGCTTGACACTTGATAGTTATTTATGTGATATTAAACTTTTTGCACATATGTTTCTAATAAAATAATTAAATCCTAAAATTGATTTTACTGACATCAAAATCTTTGAGAAAGTGACCTTATACCATAGACAATGAGCTAATGCACTCCTTTTCATTGGTATTTCAGATTTGTTTTTAATGTTGCCATTGCATTTAGACCAATGCACTGAAAGAAACCTGAAAGGATGGTTATACATAAAGAGGATGACCCCTAAAGAGCAGGTTATTTTGAACAGAGCACAAAAGCTTCCGATGGACCCTTGAACTCCCTTTATAACCTGTGTAGGCAAAAAGGGGGTTAAAATAATTATATTAAACTCTTTAAGAGTATTGTATAGCCTTTTAAATATTGCTAGATTAGAAAAATTATCAAGTTTAGCTCACTAACACAACTCTTTCAATGTTTATACTTAGAAGTCCAGTTGTCTAAATCCATACATTCTTAAATGAGTTAAAAAAATATACAGATTATAAGAACAGTCACAAATTTGCATTTAATATTTATACTATGTTTTGGAAAAACATCCTTAATGGATAAATATATTTATTTTTTACTATAAAGATATGAACAAGTCTTTTGGAAGATTTCTGGCTTATTTGGCATTTCTTAGGATAGTTCACAAAAGTACAATTAATCTTTTTGTCTCTTGTAATATATTGCTATAATGGATTCCAAAACGTGTGATTCAATTTATGCATCTACTGAGGCATGACTACATCATCAACTCCAGTGCTTTTGTCAGCAATGGATATCTTATTTTTTTTAAAAAAAGATTGCTAAGTTAGAAAGCATATATATATATATATATTACTGTTTTCCTTTGATTACTAGCTAAATCGACTACTTCCCTAAGTGGTTGCTCAGTAATTTCAATTTTTTGTTTACTCTTTATTGTTCCAGTAGTACTTGAATGAGCTCTTTATATTATAGGCTTTGTTATAAATACTTTACCCTAATCACTGAATTTTAAATTATGCTACTTTTCACGCTATATAAATGAACTTTTATACATTTAAATTGGTCAATCTTGTGTTAATTTCATTTAATCCCAATTTACCACACAATATGGCTAAACACTCTGGTCATGTAGTAGTTATGAATCGGGCTGCAAACCGTAAGGTCAGCAGTTCAAAACTACCAACTGTTCCATGGGAGAAAGATAAGGTTTTCTGCTCCCATAAAGATTTACAGCCTCGGAAACCCTGTACAGGGTCACTATGAGTCGGAACCGACTCCACGGCACATAACCATGGCTAAACACTGTATGATAAATATGGCCTATGAACCATAATAAGGTTGGCGGTTCTAGCTCACCAGCTGCTCTGCAGAAAAAATATGAGGCTTTCTGCTCCCACAGAGACTTATGGCCTCAGAAACCCTATACAGGGTTGCTATGACTGGGAACTGACTTGCTCACACTTAACAACAAGCCAATAATCTTTTCTTGCCACTTTTAAAAAAAAGCTTGCTCATAGTATATTAAATATGAAGTACATATATATGGCTTTTTTCTGGGTTTTCTATTTCTTTCTTCAAACATTACCTTAGAACTTTCCTGAAGGGCAGATGGGAAGCTGGTGAAATTGTCATTTACTGACAGACCAATTCCTAAAAACACTTTGTTCATGCCTATTGACACTATCAATCCTTGGCCTAAATATCATTGATGAACACTAACCATGCATAAAAGTGAAAGATACAAAAACCAACATAATTAAAAAAGGGATTTCATACATTTAAAACTCTTACCAGTACTCTTCGATTTTGTAAAGGTGTTGTACTGAAAAAATCATCATGGTCATCTTTTGGCATCTGTTCCAGAAAATCCCTCATCTGTTGCTTCCTTTTAAGAGTTCCCACTTTGGCAGTTATCTTAACAGTTTGCTTCTTATCAGCACTATCTATCTTGCCTTAAAGTCAAGAAAACATTTTGTTAACAATTTGGTCATGTACAGTAACTGTTCTATAAACTTAACAACCTTTGCAAAGTCTGTATGTATATTCAAATTCAGTAAATTCAGTCACTGCCATTTTACAAGTCTCCTATGCAATAACTTGGGATTTATGCAATATGATTAGTCAGTAAGATCTTCATGCAAAAACTAGGATTAGGCATAAGGTTAAAAAAGTCTATATGCTACGAGAAAGGTTACTTCCCACAAATCCTCTTTGCTGAATGCTATTTTTATTTATATTGTTAAAACGCAAATCTTATTGAATTATGGCAGGGATAGTAGATATACCCTAAAGCTTAGTCTCAGACTTTTTGGGAATAAAACACCTTTTATTAACAACCCCGGGTGTGAGTAGTAATCCAAAGAACTACGAAAACTAACTTTATTAATAAGGATCTTACTCAAATGACTTCAAATTACATTAGACCTTTAGAACAACAATCCAGATACTGAAATCTCTGGATCCACTTGCAGATTTCCTAGAATAAACTCAAAGCATAAGACAACTAAAGCTGTCACCGATGGAAACAGGTACTTAGGTAAAACTAACAAATTCAATAGGTGGCCTTCCAAGTTCTTTCTAACTTTAAAATTGTAAGAAAAAAAATGCTTACCTAAAACAAAACCTAAGTAAAACACATTTAGTGAATGATCTAAAATCTACACTAAGAATTATGAAAAATCTATTTACTACAAAAATTACCATTTTGACTTTTGAGGTTGGCTGGCTTTTTCTTAGTGATACATTTCTGGAATCCATTTCTTTGGGAATCTTCTATATATTTCTTCTGGCATTCCTCAGCAGATCGAGATCCTATAGCTAAGGCTACTTCTGACCAGAAACCAGGCTTGTGCTTTGGCAGGGAGGCAAAAGCACTGTGGAAGACCAAAACCCGTTAAAGAACAAGAATTCAAGTCAATAAAAATAATATCCTGAGTGCATAACACTGAATCAAAGATGTTTTCGTTTATGGCCATACCACCCCGAATGTACCCGATTTCGTCTGATCTCGGAAGCTAAGCAGGGTTGGGCCTGGTTAGTACTTTGATTGGTGACCACCTGGGAATACCGGGTGCTGTAGGCTTTTGGAGTATGATGCTGTGTGTTATTGTACTGAACTGCTAGGTCAGTTTGAACCACAAAGTCAGAGGTTCAAGCTCACCAGCTGCTCCTTGGAAACTATACAGGATTGTGATGAATCAAAACCAACTTGATGGCACTTAACAACAAGGGTATTTTACAAAAATCATTTAGGTAACTATGTGGAAAGAAAACAATACGCTATCTACACAGTAACTTACTCTAAAATTTAAAACATAAAATGTAATATCTGTGTTGGAAGAAGTACAGCTAGAAAGCTCCTTCGAAGCCAGGTGACTTCATCTGTCGTATTTCAGAAATATTATCAGGAGGGACCAGTCTCTGGAGAAGGACATCATACTTGGTAAAGTGGAGGAAGAACCCCAAAGAGTTAGATTGGCAGCAGCAATGGGCTCAAGTATAACAATTGTGAGGATGGTAAATCACTGTTCTATGCTTTGTTCTTTTGTGCCCAGGTCTGCTGCAAGCTGGAACTAACCGGAGAACACCCAGCAACAAGAAGCAACAACACGCTTGCTTGCATTCTACTACAATTTATAGAACCTATTTTAGAGAAAATATTTTCCTAATTGAGGGAAATGAAATAGAAATCTACAAATCAATATAAAGTAGCCCCATTTTAACAAATGGAAGATGTATAAAAAATTGATTTGTAAATGATTACTTAGAACTTATCATACATACTGTTAAGTGCCGTTGCATTGGCTCCAACTCCAAAGGACTCTGTATATATTGCGTTTCAAGGGGCAGCTGGTGTGTCTGAACTGCTGACCTTGTGATTAGCAGTCCAGTGCTAATCCTAGAGCCCACATCAGGACTCCACTGTACGTACTGCTATTGTTAAGGGTCACTGAGTTGGTTGTGACTCACAGTGACCTTGCATAGGGTTTCCAAGGGTGTAAATCTTACCAGGAGCAGAATGCCTCATCTGTGTCTGGCGGAATGGCTGGTTGTTTTGAACTGTTACATTGACGTTAGCAGCCTGACTCGTACCCACTATGCTACCAGAGCTCCTTTTATACATATTGCTGCTCTAAAAATGGAACTATCGGTGTTGTTTCAATATTCCTTGCACCATTACCCACCTAGTTGTGTATGTAATATGCCACATCATTGATAGGATTTGCTTATGGACTTGTCCAAACATTGCTGGATTTGGTACAATTTTCTCACTCTTTACCCATATTAGTACAGAACACAATGGAATATTGCAACAACTCCACAATTAGGATTGCTTTAGAAGCTCAATGGAGTCTTCACAAAATGCTATCATGCCACCCTTAGGTGTCTTTTCAATGCACCTTAAGAAAAAAATAAAAATAAAAATAAACTCCTAATCATGATCTAAGAAGATTGTACATAATAACAGCCTAGTCTCCTGTTTTTCTCATTATGTACTAACAAAAGCAGTCTTATTTTAATTCTTCACACAGCAACATTTTTATAACTACAGGCACTAAATGGTTACATAATACAGCAGTTATCACATCTGCTTTACACACAGAAGGTCCTGGGGTCTGTGCTCCAATGGAACTACCCGGTGGTCCCCTTGGAGTCCTGGTGTAGCACTGCATCGCAAGGTTGGTTTGAACCACAGGGTTCAAACTCACAAGCTGCTCCTAGGAAACTCTATACAGGGTCGCTAGGAGTCAGAACTGACTCCACAGTACGGCCTATTCACACTGTTCCCTGTTCCTGGAACGCTTTGTTCTCCAATGCTATAAAGGAGCTCTGGGAGCATAGTGGTTACGAATCAGGCTGCAAACCGCAAGGTCAGCAGTTGGAACCTACCAGCTGCTCCGTGGGAGAAAGATGAGGCTTTCTGCTCCTGTAAAGATTTGTTGTTGTTGTTGT